TTCAGAAGGTGGCGAACCGCAACAACAAGCAAGGTGAGGATGATGAAGCTCGGTGAGGTTGAGGACTGGCTCCTAGGCAACGGTACGTCAACGAGAAGTGATGGGGAGTTTTCGTACAACACTCACAATGCAGGTGCTCGCCTCCAAGTGGGCTAAGACGGTGCTCTTGCGAAGATTGGAGTGGTGGTGGCAAGCTCGACCATAGAGGTTTAGATCTTGGGTGGCGCCATGGGTTTGAGGGACTGTGAGAGCGGCGGCACACTAGAGTCAGATGGCTCAAAGAAGGAGGATGCGGGGAGAGAAGGGGTCTAATAGCTTTTTAGTCTTATAGTGCAAGCTTCATTTTTTGAGAGGGTGCCACTAGAATTAAGCAAAGTGGCGTTCGAGAGAAGAAAGGAAACTAGGAAATGTAAGAAGGGGTAAGAATGGAAGGTGCAGAGGTGGTAGGAGAAAGGGGAGGATGCGCAGATTCAAGGAAGGCTCACGGTGGGCCAAGGTCATAGGGATGCCAAATTTGGCGTTGGCCAAAGATGGAAGGTGGGATGAGAGAGATGGCTAAGGTAATTATGGCTAGGGCCCATCTGTCAGGGGCATGTGAGAGGGAAAGAAAGGAGGCGAGATGACGCTGTGGGTTGCTGCTTTAACTAGCATGGGCCGGCTCCGATCTAGGCGGGGGAGAAGGTTGGCTGCTGAGTTGTCAACGTGATGGGCTAGAGCCCACGAATGAGAGAGGGTGTGGGTGTGGAGTTGGGCTAGGAGGCTTTTGGCCTGAGAGGTGAGGATAGGTGGGCCAAATTGATAATGGGAGAAAAGGAAAGAAGAAAAAGATTTGTGATGGGATTTCGACCAGGTTTTGACCCGTGATAGGTTTTGAACTTTTGTAAATTTTGCCCAAAAAAAAGTTTTCAAAAATGTTTCACTCATTCGTGACTTAACCTTTCAAACGTTAAGTTTAGCCTCTGAGGGCAACTCCAACCAAGCTCTCATCTGGACTCCTATCCTTCTTTTAGGGGCTCAGGACTTGAAAACAAAGCTCCAACCGAAGCTTCATCCGGCCCCCGATGGATGAGGCACTCTCATTCCTCTCTCCTAAACCTCCAAATGTAGGAGTCCCTCATCCTCTCCCCTACTCCTCATTCCTCTCTTGTTACAAGGCTGACAAGTGGGCCCAATAAGTGGGACACATGACAATATACTGTAAAGTAGGAAAGTTTTAGAGAATCGGTTGGAGTGTGCTAAAAAGTAGGAGCTTGAATATGGATGAGGGACTCTCATTTCAGGAGATAGGAGGCCAAAATTTGAGGACTAGGTTGGAGTTGCCCTGATGCACATGCATTTGAGGAAGTTCTGGAATACAATACGCCGAACCCCTAAACAACTAGCCCCGGCCGGAGAAATACACTGACAAATCACTAGTAATCTCTCCATTCGTTTATTCCATTTTTAGGTGCCTCGCCTATTCTTAACCGCCGTCACTTGCGCTCACGGCCTCGCCTCCTTTCACGCCGCGCGCCCGCAAGAGACCCTGCCCTGTGCAAGATCGATCGAGAGAGAGACGAGAATCGGAGAGATCGAGCAACTGCATTCTTGCTGCATTATTGATCGATCGATCAATCGGCTGGCCGGTTGATCTCACTGCACCAAGTAAGCTCGCGCGCCACGGCGCCGTCCCGAATGGTGGTGGATGATGTCCCGTAGCCCAGGATCAAGAAGACGATGTTCGGGTGCGGCTACCGGACCCAGTTCATCAACGGGCGCAGGGAGAAGTTCGTGAGGCTCGTCGAGGCAGACGCGCCGGCGGAGTCAGCTTCCAGCCCCACTTCCGGCAGCGGCGGCGCTACCATGGAGCACGGGCACGGCAGCGGCGGCCACGGCGGTGGCGGCGGGTTCCACATGGACAGCTACTTCTCGGGCAATCCGTCGGCTGCGGCGGCCAAGTTCCGCGCGCGGTCGGTGCGGGTGGCGGCGGGCGTGAAGAACCGGTCGGAGCGGCTGCGGAGCATCGGCCTGGTGTTCCAGGAGGACTTCCGGAAGATGTCGCAGCAGGTGTTCGACCCGCAGGACGCGTTCCTGGCGCGCATGAACCGCGCCTTCGTGTTCGCGTGCATCGTGTCCGTGGCCATCGACCCGCTCTTCCTCTACCTCCTGGCCGTGAAGTACACGGACAAGAACACCTGCATCGGCTTCGACCGCAACCTGGCCACCGTCGCCACCGTGGTGCGCACCGCCGTGGACGCCTTCTACCTGGCGCGGATCGCGCTGCAGTTCCGGACGGCGTACATCGCGCCGTCGTCGCGCGTGTTCGGGCGCGGTGAGCTGGTGATCGACTCGTCCGCCATCGCGCGCCGCTACCTGCGCCGCTTCTTCGTCGTCGACCTGCTGTCCGTGTTGCCGCTGCCGCAGGTTTCCATCTGGAACTTCCTAAACCGGCCCAAGGGCGCCGACCTGCTGCCCACCAAGAACGCGTTGCTCTTCACGGTGCTGTCGCAGTACGTGCCCCGCCTGGTGCGCTTCTACCCAATCACCTCGGAGCTGAAGCGCACCACGGGGGTGTTCGCCGAGACGGCCTTCGGCGGCGCCGCCTTCTACCTGCTGCTCTACATGCTGGCCAGCCACATGGTGGGCGCGTTCTGGTACCTGCTGGCCATCGAGCGGCTGGACGACTGCTGGCGGGACAAGTGCACCAAGCTCAACTTCCACCAGTGCCGCACCTACATGTACTGCGGTGGCGGCAGCCAGGGCCAATCGGGCTTCCTCGAGTGGCGCACCATGATCCGGCAGGTGTTGGCGCAGGAATGCGCCCCCGTCGACGGCAGCGGCACCGGGTTCCCCTACGGCATCTACACGACGGCGATCCAGTCCGGGGTCTACTCCACGGAGAACCTGACGGCCAAGATCCTCTTCTGCCTCTGGTGGGGGCTGCAGAACCTCAGCACCATCGGGCAGGGCCTGGAGACGACGCACTACAAGGGGGAGCAGCTCTTCTCCATCACGCTCGCGCTGCTGGGCCTCATCCTCATGGCGCTCCTCATCGGCAACATGCAGACGTACCTGCAGTCCATGACGCTGCGCCTGGAGGAGATGCGGCTCAAGCGCCGGGACTCGGAGCAGTGGATGCACCACCGCGTCCTCCCCGACGAGCTCCGGGAACGGGTGTGGCGGCACAACCAGTACAAGTGGCTCGAGACGCGCGGCGTCGACGAGGACAGCCTCGTGCGCAGCCTGCCCAAGGATCTCCGCCGCGACGTGAAGCGGCACCTCTGCCTCCGCCTCGTCCGCCGCGTCCCGCTCTTCGCCAACATGGACGAGCGCCTCCTCGACGCCATCTGCGAGCGCCTCAAGCCCAGCCTCTGCACCGAGTCCACCTACATCGTGCGCGAGGGGGACCCCGTCGACGAGATGCTCTTCATCATCCGGGGACGGCTCGAGAGCTCCACCACCGACGGCGGCCGGATGGGGTTCTACAACCGGGGCCTGCTCAAGGAGGGCGACTTCTGCGGCGAGGAACTGCTCACGTGGGCCCTCGACCCCAAGGCCGGCGCCAACTTCCCGCTCTCCACGCGCACCGTCAGGGCCATCTCCGAGGTGGAGGCGTTCGCGCTGCGCGCCGACGAGCTCAAGTTCGTGGCGGGGCAGTTCCGACGCCTGCACAGCAAGCAGCTGCAGCAGACGTTCCGATTCTACTCGCAGCAGTGGCGCACATGGGCGTCCTGCTTCATACAGGCCGCATGGAGGAGGTACCTCAAGCGGAAGGCGGCCGAGCAGCGGCGCCGGGAGGAGGAGATGGAGGCCGACGAGGCCGCCGCGTCCGGGGTCTCCACCAGCCGGTTCAAGACCACGCTCCTCGTATCCCGCTTCGCCAAGAACGCCATGCGCGGCGTGCAGCGCCAGCGCTCCGTCCGAGCCGACAGCCTCATCATGCTGCCCAGGCCGCCGGAGCCGGACTTCGGCTCCATGGACTACTGATCACTCCGCCAGCCACTGCACTGAACTCGATCCATCACCGTGAGATTACTTGCTGCTGCAGCTCCAGCTTCGTTGGCACAAAGAAACATATGTACGCATATATTCGGCGTGTTCGCTGCTGGTTGGTTGTAAGAGGAAAACATTGTTGGCTGGTTGAATAAATCTGGCTGAAACCAACAAACGAACATGGTGATTATGTGTGTGAAATAATTTGTCACAGATAAAGGTTTACTGGACCGATCACAACCCAAAACGTGTTGCAGTGCTTAGTTTTGTAGGTTTAGATTTCCTTGTACCAAGACATGAATTTCATCATTGAACCATTAAACACAACTGCAGGACTTCAGACTTGAGATCCACCATGAAAGTCATTCCTATATATTTGGCACCGTAAGGTCCTGTCTTTACTGAAAATGTGACATGATGACAACACACGATTTAATTAAGCACTTTGATGGATATTGATACATAAATACATAATGAACTGCTCAGGTATGTACCATCTACTACATAGTAGGAATCAGAAATATATATTGTACAATAATGTACAATCTATCAATGGAAGTTTATTACATTGTCGCTTCAATCAATATAAATCTGTGCTGTGAAAAATGCTATTCTAAATTCTGAAATGTTGCTAATTACAACCGGATCTTGCCAAATCCATGCACTCAGCTGTGTTGGAAAATTTGTCAGCTGAAAGTTTCTCCACCTTCAACTGTTTATGGTTGCTGCATGGCTTCAGATTTGCTGTACGGCTGCACAACTCAAGCTCAGTATTTTCAGTCTTTAGATTTGCTGCATGGCTGCGCGACATCTCCACATGCCACACGTGTATATGGTTTCTATTCTGTACGACTCCATATATCAGAACTTAAATGCAGTATTGCAGTCTTTAGAAGTGTTTCAAGAAACCTATAGGAGCTGCAAGAAATGTGGCACTTCTGATCAGCCCAGCAATTAGCCAATCACCAATGAACTTGATCCTACAAGTAGAGCTAGAGTATCTTCCTATCATTGACACTAACCCTGCATCAAGCAGATTGGTCAATCATATCCTTGCTTGTACTGGAGGCTTGATCGCTTTCATCATCAGATCCCAATAGACAGTATGCCACACCATCTTCAGAATCTACTCTGTCAAAGTCATATCCTGGATTTTCATTTTCCACCTTCATATCAGGTATCCTGTTTGTCACTGCCGGTTTGATTGCCTTTATATCTGGGCGGCTACTTAGACTTAAGGACTGCTCCTGGGCTACCATTCTTGAACTATTACCATTGCTATCCACTAAATCTGAAACTCTTACCTGCAAGAAGGAATTTAGCTCAGATGAGAAATGAAAATGCTATGATTTTTTTTTCTCAAACACGTAGGAGAGCTGTGTATCATTTCATTTAGAAGAAGAGAGGGTACACAGGGGGAAATGCCATGAATTTGAGATTGTTTTTTCATATTTTAAGAACCTGAAGAGGCTTCATAATATCAACTTCTTGGTCCCCAATGTCTTTTAGTGCTTCCTGAGCTTGTAGCTCCATTGAGTCTCTCACAAGCTTACTCAAGAAGGATACATCATCAGACATGACGCCCAGTCCTTTCAAAAGTATCGAACCTAGCTGCAAGCTAGTCTGCAGCGCAAGATTGACAAGAGAAAAGTGATCACATGAATTCTTATGTGCTGCTCGGTGAACACAGAATTTTGAGAACATTACCTCAGCATTTTCCAGGACAACATCTGTTGCACCTGCTTTCTTAAGATCTAACAAATGCGAGAGATCTTGAGCTCTAGCGTATATAGGAACCTGTTAAAGCAGAAGGTATTGTCAACAGAGTGTTCGTTAATTGCATGTCTTTCACTCTTTCTTGGTTTCTATATGAGAATGAGGGTCCTCTCCTAACTCTAAAAAATAGTGTTCTTGCACAATGCTGCTATCATAGCATGTCTCAACTTGGTAACTAAATCCTGAAATTTCCCCAAAGCATAATGCAGTTTCACTTTGGAGATTCTTACCGCAGTGAAAGCTTGCCGCAATCTGTTTACAGACTCAATTGTTTTTTCCTTTCCAGTATACATAACCATGATAGCTTTTGGAAACGTTATGCCAGCAGATTGCAGAACTGAAGGGCGTGAACCATCTCCGTATAGCACAGGAAATCCTGATTTTCTAGCTGACTGATAGGAGAGGACAAATAAGCTTAGTTAAACACATGAAAACACATCAATCCACCTTCAGTGAGAGAAGGGAAGATGCATTAATTATTATACCAAAATGTTTTCTTATTTCCAACCTTTACAACAGCAGGATTTAGATCAAATGCGACATATAGCCATCCTTCTGTATCTTTCTCAATTCCAAATGACAATGGTGCAGATAAAAAATTAGCAAGGACCTGCACAAACATGACATTTTATGGTCTGCGCTCAAAAGAAACGAAAAAAAATATCATGCAAGATACCTGTCCCATCTCTCCAAAACCAAGAATTACAACAGGTTCAGTGGCACCGTAATTCACCATCTCAGCAGGCTTCTGCAAAAGAGCATCTTAGCATTCACAAGAAAAATATGCATCCAATGCGAATGTACTAATGATTGTAGTTACGCACTTCTTTTTCTTCAGATCTTTCATCAATGATCCCTGCTACTCTTCTTCCAACTTCATTGAGCAACGGAGTTAATGCCATCGACAGCACAACAACAATTATAAGCAGTTTATTTAACTCAAGTGGTAGGACACCGAGCCTGTTTGCCAAAGAAAACACCACGAATCCAAACTCGCCTCCTTGAGAAAGTAGCAGTCCTATCCTTACACTTTCTTTAAGAGTTAGCCCGACTCTAGGCCCAATTGCGGTAATTATCAATGTCTTGATTGCAATAAGACCCCCCAACAGTGTCAGAACATTAGGCCACTCCCGGATGAGAAGCTACATATTATGCAAAAGGTCGAGATGGATCAATGAGCATATAAACAATGTTTTGTTAACTAGCGAAAAAAACACAGCAATGCCCCTTTAAATGTTACTTCGTAACTGTCCAGTGAATGGAAACGGAAATGAAGGCATTTAGGCCTATATACCTTAGCCATGGAAAGACAAGAAATACTGCACATGAATAAAGAGTGCGATTGACATTCAACCATTTGTTCACTTGAAAAACAGAAACGAGTACCTGCATGTCAATGGAAGTCCCTGTAGTCATAAAGAACAGCCCAAGCAACAAGCCTCTGAATGGCCTTATGTCAGCTTCGATTTGTGTGCGGAAATTTGTTTCTGCAAGAATGGCTCCAGCCAGAAATGCACCCAGCTACAAAGGATGATGTTAGGAGGTAAACAATCAGCAATCCAAAAAACTGAAAGAGCACAATCTGGATCTAACTGAAATTTTCAAATAGGACATACTGTATCACTAAATCCCAACTTTTGGGTGATAAGTGATGTCCCTGCGACTGTAAGAAGACAGAGCGCAACAAATGCCTCTGAACTCCTTGACTCTGCAACAAACTGCCAGAATGGTAATTCAGTTTTCATTGTATCAACAACAACAACAACATAGCTTATTGAACAAAATATGAGTACGTATTTCAGAATGTAGAAGGTAACATACCTCAAAGACGCGTCTCATGAGGTATTTCCCGCCAAGGGAAAGTAAGCCAAGTCCGCCCAGTGCCTTTAAGCTCTCAGCTAGTAAAATTGGCCACAAACTTCGCTCCACGATATTCTGCAACAAAGCCAGTAAATGTTATTGTATGACTCAATGTAATGTGAAGGCAGTGCAGCATGCTCATACTTAGGAACTAAGGAACGTGTGCAGTGGCTGAACAAGTAGGATGCAGTAATATGTTAGTGACTATCTGTATGTTTACTACAAATCTCCTACTGAGATTGTGTGTATGATATGCTCTTTTCTCACTTATTGGGCAGGTCTGCTTAAGGACAACTTGAAGCAGCAGGTTGTCCAGGGAGCAGAAGCTGTGAAGACGGCGGCTCTCTTCTTCCACAGGCAAGATGTGCAGATGCAGGCGCAAGATGAGCGTCAGCTGATACCATATGTTGGATGATCGTCGATTTCACGGTTGAAGACTGAGTTAGCTATGTGATCGGTGGCCCAGATAGTTTTGTTTTTGGTTAAGCTTGTAAGCTGATAGGTGTAAACTCCTTGGTGGAGACCCCTGCTGTTGGACGGGGTTGTTTTGGTCTGGCGCTTCATCTCTTAGCGTCTGGGAGTTTTTGGTAGTTTGATTCATGCATTTGTTCCCTTTGTGATCATTTGCATGGATCCGTTCTCTTTAGTGTCGTTTATGATATCGCAGCGTCTTAAACTGAAAATCCGTGTAATTTCGTTGCTTTGGTAATGAAATTCGGTTTTACCGTTGTGGAAAAATCTGTATGTTTACTATATCAACCTTTTTTATACTAAATTAGTAACTTAACATGCAAAATATTATCAACTACAAAATGGTCTTAGAACTACACATATCCTTCAACGAAATTAGTGTCGGTCCTTAGGTTGCATTGTAGGATAATGGGAAAGTATATCAGGTGCATGTTTTGCAAATGAGCCTTCTGTAGTTTGATATATCTAAGTGCTAACCTTTTGCATACCTGACTCTCTAGCACAGGGAGTATGACCAACAGGGGGACAACTGCAATGTCCTGTGAGTATCAGAAGAATACGTCCTGGAATTAATATACCTCACACTCCTTGGAGGATTCATGAAAAATGACAATTTTGGAGACAGAAAATGTATAGAGGTTCAATCGAACACCTGCAGGAGAAGAATTCCCAGTGTAGCTGAACCAAATCTTGTTGGAAGTTCACCTTTCTCGGCAAGAAGCTGCAGACGATATACATACTCACTTATCATGTGCAAAAAGCAAAAAATGTAACAGTTGTAAGCATGACAAGTTGCTTGAACAATTTTGTGTAACTAAAATGCCACTGTATACATAGATGTTAGAGTGCATGCCATGAGTCAAGCCATTCACCCAAAATAGACAAGCTACAAATGTGAAAGGATGGATAAACTCAATACTTCAAAGAATGCTTGCTGATGTAATTCCTGAATAGAATGCACACCTGGAGAACAAAAGCAGATGAAGATAGTGAGAGGGCGGCTCCAATTACTATTGCTTCATCAATACTCCTGATGTTCACCTGCAGATCAAAACCAGATCAAATGCTAATATCAAGAGCAACTTAGTTGACCCTGAGAATGGCAAAAGAACTAAAGGAGCTTAATTCTGTACCCCGAGAATGAAACATCGATATGGACTACAGAAGACTAGAAGATTACTTTTCATTTTCAGTTCACAACAAATCTTACCAGATCAGGTCTTGAATCAAAGAGAAACTGCAATATCTTTGTTCCTATGGCACCATTAGGAGGAAGCTCGAACGCCGTGAAAGCGAGGGTTGACAAAAGAACCTTCAGGGTATCGAAAGGTATAGTGAATCAGCTATGGTAGTACTTTCCAAAATTCCATATGGAGACCAAGTGATCTAGTAGTAAACCAGGAAATATCAGTGAAAGGCACATAACAGATTCAGACAGAGAACATTGGCCTAGTGATGGTTCATATCATGGAACATTAGCTCGACCAAGTAGTAAGCCAGAGAACATCAGCATATCAGAATTTGTTGTTATAAATTAACAGGCATGCATATATGTACTCAGTAGCACAAGTACTCAAGGAGGACGAATAATCGTACCTGAGGCAAGCCCATCCCAAAGGCGTACCTCGCAAGAGCCTTGAGGCGAGAGAGGGAGAGCTCCAGCCCCATCTCAAACAGCTGCGGATGGGAGGCAGAGCGGTGAATCAATCACTCGAGTAAAGCATTTCCTGCAAACCAATGGTGATGCAATAACGCCAACGAGGCTCCAAAGGATGGTACCCACCAGGAAAAGGATTCCCCACTCGGAGAGCAGCTTGACGTCGGTGAGGTTCCTGATGAGGCCGAACTGGTTGAGCACGACACCGGCGCAGAAGAAGCCGAGAATCTGCGGCAGCATTTGGGGGGCGCGGCGTGTAAGCACGGGGGGAGCAAGGGGCGGACGCGAGGGGGCGAGGCGGGGAGGACGGGGGAGAGATACTTCACTGGGCTGGCCTTGACGACGCGGAAGGCGGGGACGACGAGGACCGTGACGCCGAGGAAGGTGAGCGTGTCGAAGCCCAGGTCGTTGATCACCTCGACGGCGCCGCTGGCCAGGTCCATGTCCATCCCCGCGCGCGGCGCCCGGAAGCGGGAGCCACTCCTCCTCCTCCTCCTCTTCCTCCCGGCCGTCCCGTACCAGGGCGCCCCACCCACGCGGCGGAGGACGCAGCGGGTCGACGCCAAGGTGGGCGCGGGCGCGGCGCAGGACCGGAGGAGGACGTGGTGCCGTGCCAGCGCCGCCGCCGCCGCCGAAGGCGGCAGCCGACGCCATGGCGCCAAGGCGGGCGGCGCGCGTGCCGAAGCTAACGGAGCGGAGCGGCTCGCCGCGGCGCGTGGGTGCGTGTGCGCACGAGGACCACCGGAGGGCGAGGAGACGCTGCGCCGTGTGCCCGTGTCGCGTCCCGCGCGCGCGCAGGGGCGTACCTTTTATCTGGCTGCGTGCGGGGCCTGGCGAACTCGGAGGAGAGCTGGGAGGATGGATAAGATGTTGAGACGACCGGAGCGCCGCGCGGGCCTTCGTCCGCCTCTCGCTGGCGCCTGGCCCTGCCGTCGACGTCGCTGGCTCGGCCGTTACCAGTTCTCTCGCTGTCCACGGCTCCACGCTTAGTGATTCTTTTTTTAAAAAATATATTGATAACCTTTCCACGCCAAATGCTTTGGCTGCTTGCTTTGCTAATACTATGTGGCTATGTGCACGCTTGCGCTGTGAATTTTGACATTGCACCGTGTTTCCAAATCGTAAGAAATAGCAAAAACAAAAATATTTAGTCTATATCTAGTGCTCGTGTTTGGTTGTACTCTTAGCAAGCTTGCACAGTGCTCAAATCAAGTCCAATGCAGTATTAGCTAGTACACAGATTTGCAAAAACTGAAAGGTGCACACAATAAAATATGCTCGCCCCACGTACCTCTAGTAGGAAATGATATCACTGCTAGAACATAAAGGTGACTTTGTGCAACAAAATGTAAACAATCAAACACCAAAATACAAGAAATGTTTATATTGACTTGAAAATTGTGCTATATAAGCAACATGTTCGCTTGATCGTATTTGGCTTATAAGTCGTAGCTTATCAACCAACGAACAATATTTTTCAGCCATCAAACCAACCATCAGTACTTTCAACCATGACTTATAAGCCAATCCAACCCAAACGAACAGGACGAAGATGTACTACAAGCAACCATCAATTCAGTTAGTCGCCTTGCACACGTTCTGTCAGTGTCACGTCCCAAAAGCCCAAAAGGTGCACAGCATAAAGCTCAAAATCGAACAACATATTGCTTCTCTAATAAATCAAATCAAAACACCAAACCCGTCCATAACCCAAAACTTTGGACAACAGACAACAATATATTGTACACATTCTCAGCACTGGTGACGGGAATTACAACAGGAGGGAGGTGAAGGTGTGCTGACAGCTGACTCACTGCTAACATAAACAGGCGACAACACTATTATACAAGACCTGACAGAACGACGGACCACCGTCGCATAAGTAAACCCATTTTCCCACTCCATACTTTGCAACATGAGAGACAAACAAAAAAATCTACAGCAAATGAATACCTAGTACAATGGACGCTGCTATCCCTTTTGACGCTCAATAAAAATAACACATACACAACCCCCGCCTATCTGCTGGCATCTGAGTATGTACAGGCGCGATCTCAGGCAAGACCCTGTGGTTTACCAACACTTGGTTCTGTTCTTCTACTTCTCAGGTTTGGGGAAAGGATTTGGGGAGCGCTGTCAGCGGTGACTGGTGTATCTTCTCTGGCCTTCATCTTCAGAGCACCGCTTAGTCTCGCTCCCTGAACAGTTTCCTTTCGACGTTGTTTTGGGCTAGCATGTGCTTTCAGCACAGACCACCTGCATGTGCCCAGGATGGATGGATAATATAGCCTCAAGCCACTGGTGGGAGGGAGGAAAGAAATCAATTGTTTCATAATATGGCCAGGCCGCTATATCCAGGCAAGGGAGCCTCGGTCATTGTTGGGTGCTTGAGGGCGGCCCCTGGTTGGTGTTGGCGGTCTGTTGGCATTCAACTCCTGAATTTTATTTCAATAAAATATGGTGTTAGAAATGGCCAAAGCAATAACAGTCACCGCAAATACACCAGTTACTGGTATCTAATATTATACTATAAAGCACCATTACCTGCATCCATGTGTCCTCAATATGATGCTCTGGAGAGGTCTCAGGTGACGTAATGGCAGGCGGCAAAGGATGGATGAGTTTTGGAACAACCACCAGATCCCTTCCAAGAACTAAGATTGCACCTGCGTTGTTTGCCGTTCCTGCACGCATACCATGTTAAATAACTGGACAATCCAAGTGCATGAGAAAGCAGGAAATGAGTCACATCTGAAAAGCCTATGCTTACCACAGTAATTTGTTGCCGAGAAAAGAGTGATCAAGTGACCTTGAGCGAAACGCTCAAAGCCATCCATCACACACTCATGTGCTCGCACAATCAACTGCAGGTCATTGTTGTTGCAGAACTCCATAACTCTATCAGGCTGTGGTGAAAAATGCACGTTAAGTGCATAATTCATAAATTATGGGAACCAGCAACTACAAAAAGGGCACAATAACAGATGATACTGACCCCAAAGGTAACAAGTCCAGGGCCCCGTGCATTTGGCCTGAGTCCCTCTACACTATCATTCTCAGTTGGATCAGACCTTTAGCATCAAACAAATAAATCATTAATCATGACATCAACAAATGATAAACAAGGATCTTGCAATAATAATCTGACAACAGTAGCAGTTCAAATACTGACCATAGAAGATCCATCAGAACAACTGAGCCTGCTTCCATGGTAATTGGTCTTTGAAGATTTTCAATTTGTTCTATATGGTTGATGGACCGACCAATACCACCATGCATACAAATTATCTTCTTTTCTATTAGTGCAGCCAAAGGAAGCCAATTAAATAACCTGTTCACACGATGCCAGGTCCAGATTCCATCCCGCTCACCCTTTTAGTGGCAAATAAAATAACACGTCAGCAGATTTATTTATTTTTTGAAATGATGTCAGCAGAACATAGGACAGGCATGTATAGAGGACAACAAAGATTGAACCACAAACTCATTACCATTCTCTCTATGCACTCTATTCGGAACCCAAAAAGAGCATTGATATCCGCTGCTTCATGATTCCCTCGAATTAAATGTACATTGTGAGGATATTCAACCTGAATTATACAGTGAACATGATTTTAATCTTTTTTAGAAAGAAATGACGCCTGATGAAAAGGCACAAGCTGCAATGCATATTTGCAGCCTAGTAAGACTACCTTCAGTGCAAGGAGAAGACTGATTGTCTCCAGACTATGCTGACCACGATCGACATAATCTCCCAAGAAAAGATAATCTATGTAGCTGCAATTTTTTAATTGAAAAAAGTACATACGAAGTCAGGAGAGCCTGCTACATAAATATCAGGAGCGTTTATATCACATAATAAATGAAGAACTTCAACTTTACATCGAGATTCCTATTATTTCTTTTACAGAATAGGCATTTAGGGAGTGTCAGAAACCAAAATAGTTTAGAGTTCCAGATTCCAAAACAATATTAGTCAAATCCAGGAAATAGGAACGAACAAAAAAAAAGAAACAAACCACAAAATACTCACGCAATATCTCCGGCTGTTGAAGGAGCACCGTATTCATCAAATAAGCGCATGAGGTCACCAAATTGACCATGCAGATCACCAAATATCTTAATGGGAGCTTTTAGCTGTATGACGCTAGGTTCACTTGAAAATATTCTTTCAGCACTATCACATAGATCTGCAATCTCATTGCAGTCAAGAAAGAACTGCCTTCGCACAGGGGGCTTCCAACCACGAGGTTTCAGAAGAGAAGCAATTACCTGGATAATTGGGCCACAAAATATAATTAGGTGAGTAATTAGCAAAGCAATATAGAAATCTTCATCTTAGAGAAAACATCATCTGAAGTGCTTGTTTTTTAGCAGAAGCCATTACGATAATAACTCTTCAGTTTCAAATAAGTATTTCTAGCACATGTTGCTTTTGACATATAATCTTATGCGTAGTAGAAAATTTTAGAATACCTTTTTGGGCACACTATTAATAGACATTTGTCGATCTAGTAATTTCCTTGCCGCAGTTGCATTCTCAGGGGTGCCATAAATGACCCTTCTACCTTCATTCTCAAACTGGTCAATCGACAGCTGTCTAACCATGCCACCTAAGGCACCTCCAGTTTCTGCTGCTACCACAACCTACAAGACCAAAATATGTGACTAGTGTCAAAACAAATAAGAGCTATTTTCGGGCAATGACTTCTAAGATAAAATATATTGAATGTCTAAATAAGAATAGAATAATTAAATTTAAACAAGAAGCAAAATGAACTACGTTTTCAACTCACTGCTCTATGGTGCAACCGAACCCCAGGAGGTGGTGTTGAATTGTTCAAAAGAGCAGGATCTGGTTTTATGAGGCTTGAATTTTGCTTGGTACTTGGTGCAGCATCTGGAGACTGTTCCCTGTCAGGTGAATGCTCCATCTCACCGTTAACTTGCCTAGCCTTTACAGCAGCTAAAGTAGCACTGATTGCCTCAGCCTCTGCAGCTGATGCTTCAACCAAATAATCAACACCTTTGCTCAATCTTCTGCACAGAAAATAAGTTTGGAACACACATCTCAATGCATAGCAACTTCAAAGAAAACTCAGTTCTGGTCTAGGAGACAAATGATCCAAACCTCTGTCCCTGGATAATGGCATTCTCAGGACTAATATCAGTATACATGTCCCCATTGACCGGAGGAGCAACCGGAGTCCCAAGAACAACAGCTCCATCAGGACTTGAAACTGTAACTGTTTGTCCTGATTGTTCATCGTTGTAGGCATATCTACCAGCTTCTCTTTGTACATTTGCAGATGCAGCAGCAGCAGCTGCTGCATGATTAGCTGCACTGGTTGTTTCAGCAGCAGCAAGATCTTCAGCAACTAGGAGGTCATCTAGCAGCACACCTGTGGAGCAATTGCATTAGATTTGGTATCAATAGACTAAGATAATCAACCTATGTATCTGAGACAAAAAGAAACGTCAGAAATGCAGTCCCAAAAACCACATCTAGAAAAACTCTTAGGAGTTGCACAGTGATGAGCATAGTCAAAATTCTAATTATGTTTGTGCTAATCACTTGGTACCCGAAATTCCTAATATCTTCTCCAAGATGAAAAGGATTATAAGGAATGTGTATCCAACGAGCATATCCAGTAAAGATGTCTCAAGAGTAACATTAAAAGGAAGCACATGTGTCTGATAACTGACAGGAACATGGCAGATTCTTAAGCTTCATGCATAAGAACGTCACTTACGTGATCAAAATAAATCAAATCACAGAGGAAACTATGTACAAATGTATATATCATTCAACAATGGAACCAATACCAAGTACATGGCATGGGGCTGATGTGAACAATTACTATTACTGCCAAGGATCCATCTCAGTAGAACAATCAATGCAACTGAGACATGGTTACTCAACAATCAAGAAATGAAATTAAAACGCATACAATTAAGTTCAGAATTAACCTTCTGTTCTCTTAAACCTTAGTATCAAATTTTGTAAATAAGGAAAAATCATCTGTAAGTAAATGTCTGGCACTATAAATGCAGGAAATCTGATCTATAACATATTAACATTAATCAATAACTTCAGCTAACCAAAAAATTACCAATGAAGGTATGTGCATCAAACAAGAAGCAAGTAGCATTCGGAAAGACCAAGTATGTGTAGCTTATACAACAATGGCCAGTCCACTGAAGTTGAAAAATATAATGCAAGGGCAGCTTCAGGTGATTAACCTTGATTTATTTATCTGCTGGAATCTATATCAAGAATTGTTTCTTCAATATATATGCTCCAGGAAATTTGAAGCAATCCAATTCAGTAATCAATTTCATGCAAACAAGAGAAATCAACGTTTTTTCATAAAAAATAGGACAGGCTCAGTCAGAGAAAACAGCACACACGTGGCAAGAGGGGAGCGGAGATGTATGATACTTGATATCAGAAATTAGATGAACTAAGAGACTGAAGTGTCTTACCTCCCCGTAAACCTCCATAAACAAATATCAGATCACCAACAGCGGCAGCTGCATGCCTGCACCGCCGTGTAAGCTCTACAGAAGCATCACCACCTGCTGCATCTGCACTATATCTTCCTGTCCTTGGAGTTGTAACTACTGATTTGGTATCACACCAAACTCCAGCAGCAGTGTCCAACACTGAAAAGGCAGCATGGCACAGAAACTAAGTAGATAGACATGGAAATAGAAATATTACTTACATAAAAGGTTGAGTGGTCAATGCTGAAAGTACTGACCATGTTCAGGTATTTTACAAACCATATGCTTTAATGAAAAAGGTCATTTGCATTACAAGTAGCCAGTAACGACACAAGTACTTGTATTTTAGGTTCAAGAAAACGCTAGGCGCTAGGCAGGCGCTAAGGCACCGATTAGCGTCTAGGATGCGTAAACATAGATTAAACGCGATTAAACGTTAGTACGTATTAGGAGATTTGGTTGTATAAATGTGAAAGAATAAATAGAAAAGGAAGAGCAATGTCATCACAGCCCACTCGGCCCACTAAGGCAGGAAGCCCACTAGCCCATATAAACACTCACGATACCCTACCACCACTGATTCCAGCAGCCAATCGCCCAATCCTCTCTCACGCAGCCCCGCTGCCGCCACTCCGCCGGCTCGCCCGCATGCTCCTGTCCATCACTCCCCCTCTCGATGGTGCGCCCCCTCTGCTCCCCTGCGCTCGCCCCGTCCGCTCTTCCATGCGCGCACCTCTACTCTGCCCGTGCGCACCCTGTCCTCTCCCTCTCCATGGCACCTCTGCTTCGGCTGCGCACATGGAGAAATCGAGCGGAAGGGGCTAAGTCCAGCAGGAGGCGAACGAAATCGAGCAACGTGGACACCACGAGGTAGGCATAGAAGGAATCATAATCCAACGAACCATTTTGCCATTCTAATCTCGTTTCTTCTCTTCCTTTCTTTGCCACCCATGGGTTCTGGTAGTTCATGGTGCGTTTAATTGAACGCCTATGGCCTAGGCGAGACACTGGGTCTCCACCTAGCGTTTAAGCGTGCCTAAACGTATGATTAATGACGTTTTTTCGAACCTTGCTTGTATTTACTAATCAACCATAGCAGCATATGAGCAATTTACCAACAACAAAAACTACAACGTTGAGCTTAGTAAAAGATAGTAATTATTTCTAAATTACTTTCTGCTAGTGACCTGCAAAGAAACTGAGATCTATATGTTGAGTTGTAATAGAAGTGGTATAATTTGCTATCGATTATCGAATACCATGAAAATATGCTGACCAAAGAAAGTTAAAAATATGGAACCTGCAACGCTTGAGGAGTCTTCTACCATGCGACCACCCCCAAGAGCCCCTCCTGAGACATGAAGCCGTGCATTGACAAAAACCTATTGCAACAGAAGAAAAAAACATTACATTAACAATACTTTGGATAAATCTCAACTTCAAATAAATAAGTGAAAATGGGGAACAAATAAGTAGACAACTTACAGCTGCATGTTGATATCTGGGTGATGGAGACACACCAGGGGCAATTGCCCACTCCCAGCGCCCATCTCTATGCTTAGCAAGCCCATATGCACTCGATAGGGGCTGATGATCGGAGTCAAGGGGGGAAAAGACAAAAGAATGTCATTATTTGTGACTAAGTATGCTTTGCAAAGGAAATTAGACACAGGGACCACTGTAGTTCCAAAATCCAGTGCAATTACAGAAAGTCCCATCTTAGAGGTCTTTAATTTGATTCACTAGTAGCACGCTGATCAAGTGGATACAGATTTAGTTTCATGGCCAGGTGAGCAGGATTTTTTTCAGACTGACCCAAAGTTCATATAGGACACAATTTTGTAGGTAACTGACTCAAACATACCATTATGTATTCTGTACACTTGAAAATCACTTAAAAAGCACTCATCCAATGTCACAGAAAAGGATGTGATAACAAGACTAAAAAGAAAAATATGCAGCATATAACAGACAGTGCTTCTAACTATCATTCCTCTAATTACCAGAAATGCCACATGAACCCTTATGCAACTTAAGCTGCCTTTAACTCCAAAAAACAGAGACAGGCAAATTTAATAACCTATACTCCTATTAGAATAAATTATAAATCGTCAAGCAACCAAATATCCCCAATCAGCAACTCCTAAATTTTGCTAGACTACAGGAGATGCTACTCCCACAAATAACATGGCACTTACCACACTATTGGCATCCCTTCCACCACAAAGCAAAAGGAGACCATCAGAACGGGCACTAGCAGTTGCATACCTGTGCATCACCATGTAATACAGTTAACAGAGAATATACAGGGAAAGAAACATATATACATTCAGCAGCTTACAGAAATATGGTTCAAGCAGATTATCTCACTACAACAAATAACTAGATGTGGAGTATAGTCGGTAGTGAAAGGTTCCATCTAATCAGATGTATGGTGTTTGTCATACAAATAGACTGAACAAAACTTTCTTCGTAGTTTTAGCACAGCTTTGTAAGACAACAATAATATCAGCTGTACAGGGAAAGGTAAGGAAAAAAGACTGATGATGTTATTCTTCTGTGCAGGGGCAATGTGGGTGCTATGGATTATGGAAGGCAAGGAATGACCTGGTTTTCATCAAGGTGCTGATAGATCCAAAGACGATGATGCACAAGCTGATGGCATTGCTGAAATGCTCGGAGGTGCTGGTTCCAGACAAGAAGGCCACGATGGAGGCACAAGTGTGGAGTCTGATGCAGCTGGTGGCAAATGTGTAGCCTTGTTCTTTTAAGGCTGAGTGCTGCTTTCTATTTTACTTTCGGTCAAGAGAGTGTTAGTGTCTTAGTGATGCTGGTCCTGTTGGTTTCTGTGATGTGGGAGGAACTGGTTGGAGAGGTGGTATCTGGTTGGTCACGGTAGTTAGAAGTTTGGTTGTCGAAGCTGGTTGTTGAGTCTTCCTATGGTAGGGAGGTTCAGTACTTTTGGTTGTAAACTGGCTTACTCCAGTAACTCCTATTAAGCTTTCAATAAAGCTGGGCCAAGTGGTCTTTGGTCCAAAGAAAAAGTTTTCCATAATTGCCCCAGAAGACATAAAAGCAGTACTAAAACTAACAATGGTGCCAGAACAAGCAGCTGCATACCACACAGAATGATAGAATAAAAAGGGAAGAAAAGCACTGGGAACTTTACTACAAATTACGAAGCAATTTAACATGAATCAAAAGCAGCTCATTAATGTATGCAGCAACATCATGCCATGAATCGAAGTGTTTTAAGCTCATTGATTTAAGTAAGAATCCAAAAGGGCCAAAGTTTCCTCATTATTATTGGAGCACTTGCACTTACATGCATGGTGGTGGCCCTTCACCTTCCGGTTCAAGTTTTCTCCATTCATATGGCTTAGCCGCAGTATCAAGGGCCCATACATCTGCCAAGGGCCGTTTTCCTGAAACATTGATGCAGTCTTACTATCAATATCGGTTAGTTGGAACGATCTGCATTAGCTATAATCTAGACATGACAGACGCATAAGCAAGTTCCTACCATCATTGCCACCAATTGTCAATAAGAATCGCTGCCCAACCAAGGCCATCACATGTCCATACCGTGGACCAGGACCAGGACCTTGAACCACAACTCTGTGAACAAGAAATAGAATGCTCAGCAGATAGTTAAACTAACAGTCCAAATTTAAACCAAAGTAGAATAGTAACCACCTATGCCATCGCGGTCGTTGTTGTGTAAGATCCAGAACATGAAGGTCCTCAGCAGATAAGCCAGCAGGGCCAATTCCACCCTAAAAGGTAACAAAATACGAAGGGATAGATGACAATCACTGTTGCATCAGCACTCGTCTGACAGTAAAATTGACACAGCTAAGCTAGGTACCTGAATGACCACCATGGTTCCAACAGCAGTGGCTACATGTGCAGCTCTTGGTGAAGGAGGTTCACCAAGTGGAGTAAGCCTGGCAACATTAATGTTGTGGTCAAATTGAACTATAAGTGGTACATGATATCCAGAATTGGGCATAAAATCCAACAAACTTGGGAAAAGAAAACGACAAAACATAGTATCTAAGCACCGCATTGCACAGAATACAGACAATTCCTGAAACACTGTACCTGGTCCACTTATTTGATAACACATCATAACAATGGACATCAGCAGTGGCACCAGCAAGACCTGTGACAGATCCATACAGAAAACAAGGTTATGGTAAGATTTTGTCAACTTTTGCACCTAAATAAAGGAGATAAAATTCCATTTCAACACTGGCTAAGGTCCTGCACCATTTCCAATATTGTTTTGAGTGATTTATATGGTACTTGGTACAATAAAAGGTGTGACCCTCTAATGTTATGCCTCAGAGAAGTTGGAAGACATCTGACTTCAGTTCAGGTTTAGCTTTTGAAGCAGTACAGTTCAATCTAGTTAATAACTGCATCAAGCTTACCCTACAGTGTTTGATGGACCTCCATAATGTCTGACCACAGCGAAATTTCATAGTAAATTTCCAATATGGGGACATTGAATTGAATATTTCTTTGCCACACAACCATAATGCTAAAGCAAAAGGATGGCAGCAAAAATAGGTATAAAAGAGAACCATAATGTCCTAACTATTCTCAATACAAGAATGTCCCCCAGCTGTAATAAAATTTGTACTTTGATAAGTAACTGCAGTTTAAAAGTAATAGTGTATTATTGTTCATTAACTAAGCTTGGCAACTCAAATCAAATCAAACCATATAAAAGCACCATACTTGGCCCCAAGTAACAGCCTGCACACATGGAGTTACCAGACGACATAGAGCCTTGGCATCTCGCTAATAATTACTGTCCAAATCAGACAACAGTTCAAATTCCCAGCCAATTATTTGTTTTTATCCTAATCCCACCTATAAGTGGAAGCAGTTCAAATTCCCAGCCAATTATTTGTTTTTATCCTAATCCCACCTACAAGTGCAAGCAAGCCCAGCAGCCAATACACTGAATTGCAACTTAGAATGAGACACTGAAACACTAAAGCCACAATCTGCTATGGCATATCCCCTAAAGTATTCTATCACAAAACAAGTTTTTCCCCAGCTCCTACTCCAAAGCGAGATTAACAAGCAAACCCTGCCTATTGTTCCCTTTCAATTTGCTTTGAACTCTAGCTCTCAAAAAAACTACAATAATCATCTGAAACAAGAGTACGCTGAGGTTGAAGGGGGCATACGGATCCCAGCGCTCCCAGCCGGCGAGGGTGGCGTGGCGGAATTGCCCTCGAGCGCGGTGGCACCACCAAAGAGTATCAGGCGCGGGCCCACATACCCGGGCGAGCCCTCCTCCCCGACTGCCGGCACTGCCGTGAGCGTGTGGCCGCACCGGCACCCCGGCCCGTCCTCTTTCTTGTCCATCGCGGCGTCCACCACCGTGTATCCCGGCGCAGGCCTGGGCCCCGCCACCGGCCCCGGGGACGCGGCCGCGGCCGTGGGCGTCCCGGGCGCGGACGGGGACGGGGACGCCGACGGGGACTGGGACGGGGACGGGGACGCCGTGGGGGTCTCGCTCCCGGACCCTGACCCGCCGCCGCGCGCGTCGGAGTCGGAGTCGGACTCCGTCGCCATGCGCGAGTCCACGTCCATCGCCGCCCGCCAAGCCTCGCCTCCTGCTGCCCCTAGGGTTTCGCGAGCTGAGCACGGGGATCCCCCCACGCGCGCGCACGAGCTGAGCCTCGGATAACCGCCGGCGGCGAGGCGTGGTGGTGGCGCTCCGCGACGAGCGAGACTCGGGTCGAGGCGAGGCGAGGCGATGGGATCGCGAGGGGACGGGCCGGGCGGGAGGTAAGCGGAGAAGCCCCTGGGAGATTTGGGAATTGCGCGGGGAGAGTGGTGGTGAGGATGGGGGTGTGGGGGAGGCCGGAAGTGGGAGTGGGAAATGCGGGGGACTCCAGTGGAAGACGACGGAGGACGGACAGAGAGAGGGGCGCCGTGGAGTGGTGTCTATAGTGTGACAGAATTTTCCCAGGAATTTTTGTACAAAAGGTTGGGTTTGTCTGCTGGGATTCTCGTTTTCACCCTTGGATTTCATCGCATTTTATGAAGAGGTATCATTTTATTTCTAGTAGTGTCTTTTTTTTAATTCAAACATTTTGTCTACCAAACAGAGGGAGACAAGACAACTTCAAAATATATGTTTGATGATCTGGCTGTTAAATAAAGTTATTAAGTATGTGTGGATTTCAAAGCAAAGTTAATTATTTGTGGTAGTCATCCGATCTAAGTTATATATCATGACATGTAGGTTCTTGCTCTTAACACCAGACTTGGTGGGCGTTTTCTATGGCACGGCAAATGTAGAAAAGCTTTGCACGATTACCAACTATGTATAAGTCATGAAATTAAACATCTATGAAACCATAGAATGAAACTTTGCATCGAGAATAGATGTTTTGTCCATGTTTCATTTCATTGCATATTATTTGCAGTCTTGGAGTCAATACCATAAAACTCTTCATTGAGAATGCCCTATAGTTGCTAGGACTAGGAGCACGGAGTCCCACCTAAGATTTTGCTAAAAGTTTGTAGTGACGAAGCTTATAATGAGGGATTGAAGATGGAAGACAAAGGAAAAGAGCCCCTTCTGGCATTTATCGCGAATCTACTCCATCGAACTAAGGACATAATGACCCCGGTGTTCAAGTTGTGGAACACAACGTAGGCCCATGGATGGTGATCACTAGCCTCTTTTGCAACGATAGCATGCAATGCACCATCCACATAGAACAGGAGTATGTACTAGGACGACATGGTTTCCGAAACTAGCTATGGTCAATCGACAATGGTAGCATTGTTTAGCACTGTCAGGTGAATAACCAACAATATTTTTCATTTCACAAAACAAAAAATAGAAAATAAAAAATAGCATATGTGCGTTGATTGATGTTGCTCGTGTGCCCGTCGTTACCATTGTCACCTCCCAAGCCTAGCCAACTGCCCTTGAAACACAAGCACCCAAATCTAAGCCTCCCATGCTAAATCCACATGGGACAGGTTGAGGCGGGCGAATCATGCTCTAGCTCATGTTGGTGGGCGATTGCCTTACGTCGTCGGGCCTCACATCACCAGGCCTCACCTTTGTTTTGCCTCGCCTTGTGTCATCGGCCCGTGAGGAGGGAAAGATGAATGAGGAGGGGATGCGAGATGGTAAAGGGAGAGATATAGTGCGGTGCACAAAAGTGAGTATGAGCTAAACATATTTGATCCAAAAGATCAACTCCGAACCTTGCTACTATTGGCTAGTGTTGGAGAAAGGCAATAGAGTTGTTGTTGCCGGTTCTTAGTTAGACCCAACAATAACATCTATTATTATCGCCAATGTTTAGTTAGAACCGGTAGTGATTTCCCTTTTCTTTACCAACCGGCAGTGGTGCGGTATTCTATCGCTATTGGTTCTTCCCGGTTGAAAGCCCTAGTTTGGTTTTGGCTAATTGATGAAACCTAAGTACTAACTTTTGTCATGAGTGTCATGTGAGCAAGGTTGGTACATACCAAGTAATGGAGCATGGTGATAAAGTCCAGGGTGATGAAGGTGGACATGAAATGAAGATGATCAAGCTCTAACTTGGAAAAGAAGAAAGAGAAAAACAAAAACCGAGAAGATCAAGGTAAAGGTATATGATAGGTTTTTGTTTTGCACTCAAGAAACCATAGAGGGTGTGAGTGACTTAGGATCGATAGTCGTACTATAAAGAGAGAAAATCTTTGGCTAAACAGTTTATCGAGTGCCACTAGGTGACATGACTCTTTCATATACATTTTAGGAACCAACTGTGCTAACCTTGACCCTTATAAAATGCTTTGAAAAATGCTAACATACGTGCACACAAGTTCTACACTTTGTGGTTAGCAAGTTGGAAGCGAGGGTGAAGTGGTTGTGGACTTAGAAAAAGAAAAGGAGGAGAAAGACCATGACCGGACGCTGGCCACGGGGTGACTGGACTCATCCCGGTGCACCCAGTCAATTATAGGCGACGGTGCTGCTCTGGCCGAGAGCAAGGTGGGAGGACTGGACGCTGGTTCAGGACCGACTGGCACGTCCGGTCATAAGTTGAATGGCGAGGAGATCACGCGATCGGATGCACAGGAGAAGCATCAGGTGATCGCTGACGTTAGCCTTGCCTACGCGCACAGAGAAAAGGAGCAGGGACCGGATGCTGAGGCGTGTCAGGTCGCCTATGACCTGATGCGTCCGGTCAATAGAAAACGGCTCTAGAACCTCGTTGGAAATGATCTGACGCTAAGTGATCCAGAGTCCGATCGTTTCTTCTATGAGTCCGGTCACAACTTAACCCTGGGGCACTTGATCGTTGACCATTGGAGATCGACGCTTGGTATTCAAAGGACGTGACACATGGCGCAAAATCATCGACCGGACGCTGGCTCGGGCACGTTCGGTCAACCCGACCGGAGCGTCCGGTCAGTACACAGGGCACCCTTCTTTGGCTCTAACGGCTCTATTTGTTTGGGGACATCTATAAATAGCGTTTGGCCAGCTCCAAGGCATTTCTCTTGGCACTTCGACATACTTGACATCCTTCTAAGCCTAGGCAAACACCTCCCATTCATCTCCATCATTGATTCATCATTATAATGAGATTGAGAGTGATTCTAAGGACATTTGCTTGAGTGATTGCATCTAGTGGCACTTGGGGATCGTTGTGGCTGTGGATTTCTTGTTTCTCTTGGTGGTTGCTGCCACCTAGATGGCTTGGAGCAGCAGAGGAGCTTCGGCACGAGTTGGTAATTATTCGTGGCCGGCTCCGGTGATTGTGAGGGGTCTTGTATCTTTCCCGGTGGAGAGCTAAAAGGTAACTCTAGTGGATTGCTCGTGTCATTGAGTTACCTCACTTGTAGGTAGGTTCTTGTGATGTCCAATTGTGTGGACGAGGTTTGTGCAACACCTCTTAGCCGCCAAACCACCAAGTGTTGGTCGACACAACGGGGACTAGCGTGTCGGCAAGCATGTGAACCTCGGGAGAAAAATTGGCTGTCTCTTGTCCTTTGGTATTCTCCCGGTGATTGAATTGGTATTCATCTTGTAATTGGTTCACTCCTCTATGCGGTGGTATAATCATCCTACTCACCCATTTACATTCCCGCAAACTAGTTATAGCAAGCTCTTTAGTGTAGCTAGAATTGAGAGCTTACTTTGTAGTTTAAGTTCATCTAGTGGAGCTCTTTAGTGTAGCAAGTTTGAGAGCTCTTAGTGAGTAGCAACTTAGTCTCCTGTGTCCCTAGTGATCATAGCAACTAGAATTGTTGGATAGGTGGCTTGCAACCCTTGTAGAGCTAGAGCAAGTTTGTATTTTGATATTTGTCATACTGATCCAATTGCTCTAGTGATATTGTAGATTTTTAAATAGGCTATTCACACCCCCTCTAGCCATATTAAGATCTTTCACCGGTTCTAAAGCTCCCAACAATGACAGAGGCGACAATACAAGTGGGTTTTGTATTGATGTATGACACTAGATAAATGGGCTACTCCACTGGATCATAACCCCATCTACTCCTCAAAAGTGAACTAGGAGTATGCATGTGGGCATAAAAGGGAATAACTACCACTGTTGGTTTATAATTGGTAGTTATCATGATTTCAAAAAACAATTATGGGAGAGAGGGAGCATCAAACAAGAGCATCGTCCTCGCCATTGATATTAATGTCAAGTTTGAATTAAAATTGGTAACAACAATAACCAAAGGCTATAGTTCCTACCATAGAGAGAGTCTAGATTTAAGAGCACCGTTCTCGTAGTTATGAAGAAAATGCCTTCACCACGGTTGTGGTAGCCGAGCTGTGACTTAAGCAAGTACATTGTTGGAAGAGTTTGGTTCCATGTGTCATAGTATTTGAGTGCCTTACCCACACGGAGCAAGATACCACCATCTAGGTTGAAGGTGGCTTTGTTGATTATAGAGCAATCATCATAGACGTGCTGCCTTGATTACTCCCACCAGGCAAGCGTACATCGGTCTAGTGTCTGTCTGCCGAAACCAATTCCCTGGTATTATTAATTGGGTTGTTTGGTTTTGTCGACATATGCCGACGGTTATAATGTGCATGTTCTAGTTCCTTTGTGTTCAATAGAACTTTGTATCAATGGTTATCTTTGGTAAACAACTTCGACATCAGCCAAAGGAAGAAAATAACTCTAGGTGGGATAAGGATTTTTAGATAATCATATAAATGCAGGGTTGCTCCTAAAAAATCAAGTAAAGCTAAACTTCACTCGAGTGATTCTAGGCTCTCTCACTCGATTTTTTCTGCCCAATCTAAGATTGCCACGTGAACTTCTTTCCCAACTTCGACATTGCTAAGGTTAGGGTGCAAAGCTTACCTAAGTCGTCCATCAAGCTTAGAGGGATCGCCGGTGGAGAAAATCGGGCCTATGGTGATGACGAGCGTGGGGGCGACTGTGGCACTGCTGGCCGGGCAACAGGGGAAGGTAGTTGGGCGGTGAAAAGGGTGGGATGTCACGGTGATAGCTTGGATGGAGATGAAGAAGATGGCGAGGAGGAGGCACATCCGATGGACTTTAGGGTAATGTTGTGGTGAATGGTGAGGGAGTCGACGCCTGACTAGG